TAAACTTAAAACAAAAAACTACCATTTATAGCATTTTAAGCTCTACAACAGAATGCTTGTATGTACACGCTTTATTTGCATTTTACTCAACCCTATGAGGGCAGGCATCTTTATTGACCTTTTACAGAGTTGGAAACTCAGAAAGGTCTGAGAAGGGAGAAAGCCAAGTATGAGAGCTCAAGCTCTATTACTACTAACTTGCATCCTTGGATAAATCACATAAGTGTTCTGGATCTCAGTGTCATCTTTAGCTTTTGCAAACAACCTCCCCCCCTCCCCCCCAAAAAACACCTACCTTCTGGGATTATTCTAAGTTAAATATTTATAAAAGAACTCTGGGAAGAATAAAGCAATATTCAAAAGTTGATTATTATCATCTCAAAAATAAACATTCAAATATTTTTTTCTAATGCAGTGAGAAAGTCCTGATATCTGGAACATAGGAATGGCAAAGGTCTCAGAAACAAGGCCTATTGTGAAGCATGGAGTCCCATGTCTTTGGTTTAATTACCCACATCCCCCAAAAGTAGTGGGGACCCTAATTACTCAGAAAATCCCCTATAAAATAAGTCATTTCATTAGACATAGCCAAAAGTGACTGGCAGAGGAGAGAAATGTCAATTGGCCGCTGAGAGTGGACCCAAAAGCTTTCTCATGGAAAAGCAAAGAGGAAATTCAAAAGAAGAGTTAAGAATTATTTAATACACATGGGCACCGGGGAGGCTTAGTCAGTTAAGTGTCTGGACTCTTGATCTCAGCTCAGGTCATGATCTCAGAGTTCCTGAGATTGAGCCCTAAGGTGGGCTCCATGCTGACAGCGAGGAGCCCACTTGGGATTCTCTCTCTCCCTCTCGCCACACGCTCGCTCTCTCTCTCTCTCAATATAAATAAATAAACTTAAAAAAAAAAAAGAATCCTTTAACAGATGGAGAAAAATGTGACTGTAACTTAACTGTTCACATAGGTCTCACCAAATTACAAATTATAAAGTAATTGTTGTTTGGGATAAATGTGTTGAATTTTCAAAAAAATTCAAAAGGCATTCTGAATGCTTTAAGTAAGGACACATATAAACAAAATTTTAAATAAAGTTCCCAGGATAAATATATAAGATAAAGTGTTTAAGGGAACAGCAAAGTTTCATCCCCCTGGAAATCACTTATGTGTAACACCAGTTTTTCAAGGATGCTGGAAAAATGAGGTTCCACTCTAGTTTAGTAGTATGCAAGGTGCCACAGCATGCTTCTAAGAATTCAGACACTGTGCAGTACATGATATGCAGACACTATGCAGTACAAGATATAATTTACCTTCACGTTGCATTTTATTGCATTTAATTCCATCACTGTTTTATTGACATACAACTGAACCTTCAAACTTGTCAGCCTGGTCTCATGCTTTATGTCTTTACATCATCATTTCCTGTTAGTTACACATATTCTAAGCTCAGGGGTAAAACAACCTTTCTTGTTCCTGAAACTGTTCTTACTATCCCACATCTGCTTTTATCCCTGCCTTTCTCTCTGAATCCTATACTAAATCCTACGACAGATTCCATCAATTCCATAAAGCCTTTTCTGAAATATCCCTACTGCCCCCAGCACAAGCAGACTTTTCCCATTACAACTGTGACATTTTATTACTCCCATTGTTTTATGTTTATTTATTTATTTTGAGAGAGACAGAGATAGCACGAATGGAGAAGGGGCAGACAGAAAGAGAGAGAGAGAATTCCAAGCAGGCTCTGTGCTATCAGCAGGGCTCGAACACACAAACCACAAGACCATGACCTAAGATGAAACCGAGTCAGATGCTTAACCAATTGAGCCCATGCACTCTATTGTTACCTTTTTTTGCCGTAATTACTCAAACCTCTTATCTCATAGGCATCTAAGTGAGCAAGGTATATACATCTAAGAGTATGGGAGTCAAACAGTCAAGAGTATCCCAGCTCCACAGTGCATGACTGATGAAGATATTAACTCCCAAGAGCCTTAGATCCCTGCTCTGAACAATGGGGAAAATCATTTCTGACTTAACAGGCTTGTGCTTACGTAAAACATCAAGTTTGGAATGAACCAATTAATCAATAAATGCATGCATTTTGCCTCATGCCCCTGATCCTACAAAAAAGAAGGGAGGGGGTATTACAAAGTCACTCAAAACTATTTTTTTTTCTCAAAACTATTTTTAACTTTCCAAATCCTCTCCTCTTCTTTGCACTGACTCTGCTCTTCCTGAAGGTCTAGTATGCAATCTTCTAAAATGAATGTAAATTAATTAATTATGATCATTAGTTTAAGTGACAAGTGGAAGGTTCCAGCAATTCTTTGGGCAAAAATGCAGACTTGTAGTTCTGTATTTGTAAGAGTATGGACATAAAGATGTGAAAAGGAAAAGGAAGGCTGTTTCTGTGTCCCTAACAAGCAGTCAGTCACACAGTTAGAAGTTAGAGCTTGGGAGCATCCACAACACTGTACCATCATGCACACTGCTGAATTGAAGAAAACAACCCAGGTTATATCCTTAAGATAGTATTTTTTAAAATTACTTATAACCAGTTATTGCTCTAATGAGATTCATCAGAGAACATGAAACCCTCATTCAACCCTTCCCCCCGCCCGTTTTTTTTTCAACAACGCAAACTAGTACCGGGCAGTAATTCAAGAAACTGAAAACAAATCCCACAATGGGTGTTTCCTCTCACCAGATGCACTAAAATAGAAGATAATCAGGAGCAAGAAAAGCGTCAGAGAAAGTTTTAACAGATAAAAAAAATAAACTCTCCAAAGCTGTATTACTTACTAATCACTTCTGTTTTAAAAATATATCCCTTTTTAAGTATTCACATTCACACAAAAACCATACTGATAGAATATGTCTTCTTCCTTTAGAGAACACATTTAAAATTTGGTGTTTAAAATGAAGAGGTTACACATATGAAACTTTTAAAAATGCCTGCCTGGGCGTGAGGGCCTTGAGGAACGGAGACCTTATTCGTCACTAGCAACCACCACAAGACCTGGTATACTCAAGTCACTCAATAAGCTTTTGTTGCTTAAGCTGACATTGCAGTTAAGGCTGCAATATTAACACACAAAAAAGCACCAGCACAATTACGTGCACTTTAATGTAATTTCAAAACCATTTAGTAAATAAACTGAAACAAGTCAGTATCACTTATGGCTAGAAACCAATTATATAATAATTCAGAAAGTAGCTGAACCTTCCACACTTTTAACTACAAATGAGAGCAGTTTGTAAGAGCAACTGGAAACGAGGCAAATTGCAAGGTGGAAGATCCACCCCCACCTGTAGTAGATTGCAGGAGGCCACCCTAACAGATTTCATTACAGTGCCACCAGGACAAATATTGTGAACCTAAGTAAGTAATTAGCAAGAGATTTCCTGTATGAAAATAATACTTCCTCCTCTTAAAAATGGCCACCTATTGGGTTTGTAAATTAGCAGTATTTAAGAAAAGGCAAACAATATACTTAGGATAGGCTGCATGTTATCAAAAAACAGCAATCCAAAAACAAACTCAAGTGTTTAATTATAGGAAGCTAATGCGGTTCCCTATGAGGTTTTAGATAATTGTTTATTTTACCATATAAACATGACTATAAAAAAATCTAAGGCCATTTACTGGGAAAGTGCTACTGTTAATTACTGTTATACTAGCTGAAATCTACTGAAACATTTAAAATCATGTGGGCTACTGGAATTGATTTTAATTTTCCAGGTGCCCCACATAGTTGAAATCCTGCCTTTAACAACAGCCAATTGACAAAGTCTGTGCGATCATTAATTACATAACAACTATGCTAATCATATACTCTGGATTCAAATATCCTTTAACATTGCATAAGAAATATTTATGTTACATGTTAGCCTGATAAACAACTCAATAAAACCACAGCAATTGGAAGAATTATTTTCCCACATACTGAGATGTCTAATAAAATGTGTCACTTGAAACTCTGTATTTTTGTCCCCTGCTGGTTCAACTTTTCATAGAACTTAACCAAATGTTTGGGTGGCAGGGGTTTTCATGAATCAAGATTGTTAGCAAGCTACAAGGTTGAAGGAACACTGTGAGAATTACTCCTTTCAAGTTTAACCTAACAACCACATTGCTTTGCTTTTCCTTCACTTGCTAAATCCATTACATAATACATTTAAAAAGCATGATGAATTCACATTAATTTCCGAGTAATTTAACAACAGACTGGTATACAGTTTTTGAAGGAATTTAGTCACTGATAGGGTTTCAGAATTGATTAATGTCCCACCTCTCGAAACAGCCTTCCTGCATGGAAGTGTTTCTGTGTATACGGTGTTTACATGCCTGCACATACCACAATTTATCATGTTTCACTGCCGTGCATTCCTTTACTGGTTTTAAATATGCATGCTGCAATACCTACAGAACAGAAATAAGTCAAAGGCACAATAATGGTGCTTATTACAAAAAAAGGAGGTGGAAAGGATATAAATTGGTGTCCAATTTCCTCATTCTAAGAACATTAAAAAAAAGGGGGGCTGAGACCCAGAAATTGACTTAGATACTGTCACAAGGTTATTTAGCATTAGGACTAGATCAAGACTTTTCCCCATGACACAACTAGAGTAACCTAAGATTATTATCTTTACCATGGGCATTCTGAGAGCGGAAACTGGGTTCCTAGAAAAAAATTTTTAAACCCATCATTCATAATAAATAAATTACCATTCATAAAAATCAACCCTCTACATCAATCCGTGAAGTACATGCAATGAAAAAACTTGGTAATTAATTGTTCTTGGCACCTCCACCAGCATTTGCAAGGTGGACTTGGAATTCAGGAATAGGAACAAAGCTCTTATGTTTTCACTGAACACTTGCTTCTGGATTCACCTTTGTGCTGCTAGACCTTCGGCAGAGACTCCACATTTGCTGACAGGGGTATGGGATTGGTTGCTCACAGCCACCATTAAACCTTGTCATTGTAACCTACCTCCTTGGCCATGTCTGTGTATTTCTGCTTTTCCTTTGGATCTAGAACAGCCCACCAATCAGCCAGTATCTTGGTAGCACCTCGGTTATCAAGCCGGGGGTGTTCCTGTCGTACAAGGGAGCGATGACGTTTGCAAAATAAGAGAAATGCATTCATTGGTCTCCGGGCTCGTTGTTCTGGTGATTCATCATCAGTCTCACCAACATCTTGCTCTAGGCCATCGGCCCCAAGAAGTTGAACCTATTACCAACCAAAACAAAAGCCAGATGTTTAACACATCCTGGACAATGTTGCTTTAACAATCAGTTTGGCTTTCAAATTGTATTTTTTTACCTTCATTTAAACAACTTACAGATTGGAAAAAAATTAATCATCAGCCACTATTAGTGGTTGATAACCAACTTACAATGCCTTCTGCTTAGTTTCTATAGCAACCTGTGCATGTCTCTATTACAGAATATATCATGTTATAATTGCTAACATTTTCCCCCTCACTAAACAGTGAACTCTTTGAGGACAAAAGTTATTTACCTTTACAACCACGGCATCTAGTTCAATGGGTAGTACAACATCAGTACCTAACTAACTGCTCAATAAATAAATAAACTCATGCTGTGATATATGTGTTTCAAGATTAACAACATTTACACACACACAAAAATATATGAATATTAGTTGTTTCTCCTGTTTGGAAAGTGCTTTTTCTACAGCTAATAATATGAAAGTGTTTAACATAAAAGTAGGTAAAAAAATGTAATGTATGCACATCACAAGTGGAGCCTCCTATTGTAAAAATCAAAATAGACATTTAACATTATTTGAAGGAAGAACCATGTAGTAAATTTTCAAGCCTGTAAATATCATTCAGTGAAATGCTATGATGACAGGAGTAAATTCACTTGGGCTTAAACCTTCAAAATAGATTCTGAATCCCCCCTTTCGCTCAGCATTTCATTCAATTCCCGGTCTTCAAGGACTTCCACAAAGCTCTGATCCCACCCATCCCATCTGTGTAACTGTCAATCCCGCTGCCTGAGCCTATGGCCTAGTCTCTCTGCTTCCTTTTTTTTTTTTTAATTTTTAAAAATGCTTATTATTTTTGAGAGAGAGAGACAGAGAGGGAGAACAAGTTGGGTAGGGGAAGAGAGAAAGGGGGGGGGGCAGGGGATCCAAAGCAGGCTCTGCACTGACAGCAGCCAGACTGATTTGGGGCTCAAACTCATGAACCATGAGTTTGTGACCTGAGCCGAAGTTGGACACTCAAAAGACTGAGCCATGCAAGTGCCCCAGGCCTAGTCTTTCTGCTTCTAATCTCTTTCAGTACTTCTTGCACATGGCTGCAGATACCTCTGATCACAGAATCTCAGAATATATTAGGACTGTTAAATATCTTCTAAGGCTAAAATATGATTCTATGAGATTTCTTGAAAACAGTACAACCACAAACAGAAGTCCAGAAGGCTTACTAAAGCTATGTCTTTAATTTCTTGTTTCATAGTTAAAATCAAGAAGGACTAAGGTAGTTGTTAATCTGCATCATATAGTAGAGCATTACTTCTTCAATTTGAGTGGGCAGTGGAATCCCTGGAGGTCTTGTTAAATGAAACACAGATTGTTGGGTCCCATTCCCAGAGTTTCCAATTCTGTAGGTCTGGAGTGGGCCTCCAGAATTCATATCTGTAAAAGTTCACAGGTGATATTGATGCTGTTGGTCTGAAGATCACACTCCGAGAACCACTACTGTAAGGCAACGGTGTTCTTCTACATCATGTTTATTGGGAAACTGCGACAGCTACTCTAGTATGAATCACTAGCTTAATCCAATTTGGTATTTTTAAAGTCTTGTAAGTTTAAATTAAACATTGCAAATGCATTTAATTAACCATCAATTATCTTCAAACAAAATAATATGGTGGAACAATCTTGAAGTCATAGCTATCTGATTTGGAAATACATTAGAGATTATTATTGGGAGTGAAGGCTATAGATTTCACTTCCTCATTATGTATACAATCATTAACAATGATTTGCATTTTTAAGGAATATTTATTTAGCATTCTGAATGCTAAATAAAAAGGGATATTTAGTTAGCTTTCAAAACTAAGAAGCTACGAAAAATCAAGACATAAAAAGTATATTACGTAGGTTGAAGAAGTAATTACATTTTCCCTTCAGAAAAGAATAACTTTTGATTCAGTTACTAAGTTATAAAACTCAAGCCAAGAGCTGGAAAAAAAGATAAATAAGACAAGATCCTGGACCAAGGAACTTACTGTTTGTGGAGGGTTGGGGGGGGGGGGGAGAAAGAGAGAAAAGCAAATTAATTAAAAAGCAGTATGATGACTATTACAAGGAGCCAGTGTTATAGTGAAGCACTAGTGGAAGGGTGGAAGCTCACCAAAGTCTCCCTAGAAACCGTGTTGTCTGAGCTAGATTCTGAAAGATGAATCAGAATGTGTCAGGTAGTCAATGGAGAGACACGGAAACCGAAAAAGGATTAAGGCTCGATGACTGACTGATGTACAGTTCAATAGCACTGGTAGATATAAGACTAGAACATGGACCCAGGACATGAGGTTGTAGAAGTAGGTATGGATGGACGTACTTCATGAAGAATGTGCTCTGTCATGTAAAATAACATGCATTTAATCCTAAAAATAAGTAGTTGCAGACTGTAAAAAACAAAACAAAACAAAACAAACAAAACAAAACAAAACAAAAAACACCTTAGGGGGAACAACATAGGTTATCATATTTTACTAGATTATTTATTTTGCCAAATATGAATATTAAAAAATGTTGGCAACTACTATTTAAGGTCACAATTATCTCATTAAATTAACCCCCAAAACGAATAAACAAATGAATAAATAGATAAAATTATATAAAAGTGAAAAACTCTCTATCTGGACTTAAATTTTCCTTTCACCAGGGCCCAGTAATACTTTGTAACAAATCAACACTTGTACCAGACCAGGATATGGAAACCACGGCTGGATGCAATAGAGAGCCATGAGTGGTTTTCAGCATAGAAGAGACATCACCAGATTTGTACTTTAGGATAACTCCTATCAGCAGTGTAAAGCATGAATTATAATATCAAAACGAGAAGCAATCCAAACTAGAGAAACCATTTCAAAGTTTGTTTCAGCTGTCCAGGTGAGAAAGGAGACAGGGCTGAATTAAGGCCGTAATGATAAGAATGGAGAAGTGAGAACACAGACAGTATTTATTTATGAGGTAGAGCCAAGACAGTTGGTATCCAATTGGATTTAATGGTTAAAAAAGGAAGAGTGCTTCTATCTACCTTTAGTGGCAAGATTCCTTCATACACACCAGAGAATGCTTTTTCTCAAATGAGAGAAATTAGATAGGGTTGGGAGCAGAAAGATCGGTATCGGGTAGGCAAAATGTCAGGTGGTTCTCAGCAGAGAAGTCTTGGTTGGGATTATGAACTGAGGTAAGAATACAAAGAAGGCAAGACTAGAAAAGTGGATGAGATCACCAGGTGTGGACTGAAAAGAGAAGGGAATTCAATGATTCCATTCTTTCTCTCAGTAACTGCGTACTGGGCAACTGATAGGGACCAGGCACTGTTCTAGGTGGTGCGGGTAAATCCATGAGCATATGAATTCCCTGCCTTCATGAAGCAGAAGAACAGCACAGCCAGGCTTTCATTCTGAACAGATCCCTCTGGCTGCTCTGTTGAGCAAAGACTGGAAAAGCAAGAGCAGAGGCAGGCAGAGCAGCAGAATATATGCTAATCTGCACTAGAAATGGTGGTGGTTTGGACCAAGGAGGCTGTGGTGACCTTGCTAAGGAGGAGTCAAACTGAGAACATATGTAGAAGGTATGGCTTGAGAATATGCAAATAGATGGATGGATGCATATGAGACATGAGCAAAAGAAAACAGATAAGCTTTCTGATCTCACCAACCAGAAAGTTGGGGGCTCCCATTTACTGAGAAAGGGAAGACACAGGATGATGGGGTTCAAAGTTTCATTTTGAACACATTCAGACGGAGGTTCTGATTGGAGATCTAAGTGGATATGTTAAGAAAACAGTCAAAAATATCAGTGTAGAATTTAAGGATTGAGAAAGAAATTAAGAAGCCCACAGTGGGCCACCTGGGTGGCTCAGTAGGGTTAAGCGTCTGAGCGTCTGATCAGGTTGTGATCTCACGGTGCATGAGTTTGAGTCCTACACTGGGCTCTGCATGGACAGTGAGGAGCCTGTTTGGGATTCTCTCTCTCTCTGCCCCTCCCCTGCTCGCTCTTTCTCTTTCTCTCAAAAAATAAACAAAAATTAACTTTTTCTTAAAACAAGCCCAGAGAACACCAATATTTGAGGGCAGAATAATGGAGGGGCATCAAGAGAATGAAGGTAGGAAGGTGAGGCTGGGAGTAGAAACAGTAACAGAAGGCAGCCTCCAGGACCAAGTGATCGACAGGCACAAATATGTCAGAAAGATCAAATCAGTATCAACTTGGCAATGTCCTCAAATAGAATGAGTAACAGTGGTCTCTCTGAAAAGAGAAGGGGAAGGAAAAGATGGGTGAGTGAAATAAGTATACAGATGAGTAGAGGAAGCTGAAGGAATCGTTTCTGGCGGCCTCTATTTTCTCTGTAAAAGAGGAGAAAAAGATCAACAGTGAGAGAGACTATAAAGAGGATCCAGATAAGATGTCTGAGAAACAGGAAAAACAGAAAAAAATGTAAGCTGACCCAAGCCTAGAACAAAAGACTGAATGGATGTCAAAGGTCTGCAGGATACTAAAAACAGGCTTATAAAAGTTGTAGTGACACGAAATATGTACTCATTTATTCTTCCATTGAACATACATCTTTTCAATACTTGCTATGTGCCAGGCATCATTCTAGGTTCCAAGGAGTAAGAGGAGGATATGTGGGGCAATACCTCTGCTCTTACTGAGCTTATATTCTAGTCTGGCAAGACAGACATACACAGGTATACAGCTAAGCGCAAGTTAAATGGTAAGAAACGCCAGGAAGGAAATCCTTGGACATGGAATGAGTTGGGTGGGAGGGTCACCTGGGATGATGAAGCCCCATCTCTTGGGGAGGTAGTCCTTGTGCTGAGAGCTGAATGAGGAGGAGGAGGAACCAGTTCTGCGTAGACCTGGAGGAATGTGTGGCTTTCTAAAGTCACCTGCATGGCTGTGTGACCTTCTAAATGAGAGCTGGCTGCTTAAGCATGAGACCAGAGAAGGGGACGGAGAGGACTGACTGACCACGGAGGACTGGTGGGGGTGAAAACAGCCAGATGTCATGAAGGCAGTGGAGATGAGGGCTGGAGCAGCTGCAAGACTGTCCACAGGAGGCAGGGCTAGGCTGAAGCAGAGAGAGGCCAGAGGGGCAACGAGATGGGTGCCAGGCAAGTGCATCAAATTTTATAAATACCCCCATCTCCACTGCATTGGAGTGCTACCATATTACCTGAAAATCATTAGTTAATAGACAGAAATACCACTGAAGAAGATCTGTTTCTGTCTAAATGATTAGGAAGTACAGATACTTTAGGAACCCTCAATATCTGGAATAAACATATACATTAAGTAAATAGGATTCAAGTTATACAGACTTTTAGAAATGCATCTTTCTCACCAATCACTGTAGTTTCTGGAATGAATATTCAAAACTTGTATGTTAAACAGAAGAATTACCTTATCAATATCCTCCTCTTCGTCTTCCTCTTCCTCCTCTTCTGAAAAGTCAAGCAGTTTCTTTGCTAGCAATGGATGCCACTGAAGACACTTTCGTTTTGGTCGTTTTCCAGCCCCTTCTCCGTCTGCTGAGTGATCTTTATTTCTATTACTGCCTTTCATTACTGTGACCTGTGGTAAGGAAAAAAAGGAGAGAAACAGAGAGAAATCAAAGTAAATTTGATTAAAATTTGTTTATTTAGCTTCCTTAGCTTTAATTGGATTATAGTTTTAATGACTAAAGTATCTACCAGCTCAGGCATTTACTGGATTCAGTAAGAATTCTAAGTACATAATCAAACATTCATTTTAGTTGGCTGAATGGAGCTAATAAAATTTGCCTTTTGTGAAATCTACTTCCTTCCACTCCCTAACTTCAGAACTCAAAACCCGAATACAGCAGTAGGATGCCTACAAGTTACTGTCACCTGTTCACACTTACTCAGGGTAGTGTTTCTCAAAGCTGTGCATCAGAAGACTATGAAAAGATAGAAGAGGTGCTCACAGAGGTGGCCCTCCACACATTCTCCAATGGCTCCCATTTTATTGTAATAATTTACGTTTTGCACTCTACCATAAGATAAATCTGAGCCTGGAGGGTTAGTAAGCAGAAAAAATACTCTGTAAGAATCAAATGTTTGGATTAAAATAAAACTATTTCACAAGATGACACACAATTTTTAAAAAGTAGCTGTGTGCAGCCTCCAAGGACCCAGTGCATGAAGTCACTGTAGGTCACTTAGCAAGATGAGCACCCTCTGTCCCATCTGTGACACACATAATCAAATATTTTGCATCTCTTCATTACATATGCACCCGAATCCAGTAACCAAGTTTTGCTCCCTAGGCTTTTTGTTCTTGCTCTTCCCCTAAAAGGTGATTGGCTGAAATAGCTAAGCAATGACCAGCCTATGATGTGACAAAGTCTTTTCAGAAGCCTAGAAACTAAGTTACTTTTGGATGACTTGAAAAACATTTTTTCTTAAAGATAAAAACAACACACATTCTAAAATAGCACTAAAAATAGCACAAAATGAGGTTTGCATTCTCCATCACACCCAGCACCACAGCCGAGAGGTAAATCACACATGTCAATTTCTTATATGCATTCTCACAGTATTTTCCTAGTTCAACAGTTCTCATTCATTCATTTTAAGTAACAATATACAAATTATTGTCCATATGTACTCATGCAAAAATTCAAATATCCAAATGCTATCAACTTAAATGGTTCATGTTGACGATTACAAACACAAACACAGTTGCTGATATCACAGAAAAGTATAGCCTTTTTGGTCAGTAAAAGTGTGCATTGGTCCAAATGCTTGCAAAGTGGTATCAATAAACTTCTAATGCCATGTTGCTAAAACTAGATTTTCATAAAGTTTCAAGATTCATTCTGTTCTGAAGCCTTTGAAACAACATGGCATAGGCAAATTTATCCTGTCTGTCATTGTTTCATGTTTCATGCTTAGGTCTTCCTCATTTCAAAACAAAACAAAAAAAATCATTAATATTTCTCTCTAGAACTGGCATGATTTCATTATAAAAAAGAATTTTAATACTGGACCAATCTGTAATTCATTCTGATAAAGGAAATAAGGATCTTATTCTTTTTTTCCCAAATAACTAGCCAACTCTCCCAACAGCATTTGTTAACTAATCCAGCTTTTTCTCATTCCTTTGAAATGACCCTTTTATCCTACACTAAATTACTATCTATTTCTGGATTCTCTTCTGTCAATGATCATTTGCCTCTAACCTGTTTGCCTATCCTTTGACCAATTTTAAAAACCTTAGGGACTACATCATTCTGTATCTTCTTTTATATACAAATACAGCAGTAAGCACAGCCATTTAGAAATTTTAATTTGCACAGATCATGCTCATCTAAGCCAATACATCTTTACCGTCCTCATTTTGTAATAACTACAGAATATTCCAAAATAAAAATGTATTGCAATTTATTCAATCATTCCAGTATTGATAATCAGATTATTTCTTGTGCTGCAGTAAAATGTTTATTTTAATAAAATTTTTTAAATCTCCATCTTTATAAAAATCTTCAATTTATTAAAAGCTATGTTTAGTCAAAAGAAGGAGGAAGAGGAAAAGAAAAACATGTTCCTATGGCCTTTTTAGCAAGAAACTTCTGCTGAGTCTCTGAAGCAATTATATGATTCATGTGGCTGCCTCAAGAGTGTAAAAAGTTACTGAAAACTCTAAATGGAATTAGTTATCTGCTATGCTCTTAAAAAGCAACAAAGGTTTCTCGTGAACTGATAGACCATAGACCATTTAACAATTCTCATTCTATCTACAAATAAAATTTGGCACAGGCAACCCAATTTCCAAAAATACCAATGCTATGTAGAGAGAAGAGGAAGCCGTTATTTTTGTGGCTTATTAATCACTTCAGGATGAGCTGCTTGAGTGGCAAGTAAACCCATATGGTGGCCCCAATATTTTCGGAGGTATAACATTTTTATGGCCTTTTGTTTTCCACTTAAAAAAATCCTTTTAACATTTCTTATAAGGCCGATTTAGTGGTTATGAACTCCTTTAATTTTTGTTTGTTTGGGAAACTTTATCTCTCCTTTAATTCAGAATAATCTTGCCAGGTAGATTATTCTTAGTTGTAGGTTCCCCCGCCCCCCTTTCAATCCTTTGAATGTATCATGCCACTCCCTCCCTTCTGGCCTACAAATATTGCTGCTAAATATTTGATGGGTCTTATAGGGGTACCCTTGTATGTAACTAGTCGCTTTTCTCTTGCTGCTTTTAAGATTCTCTTTAATTTTTGGGGCGCCTGGGTGGCACAGTCGGTTAAGCGTCCGACTTCAGCCAGGTCACGATCTCGCGGTCCGGGAGTTCGAGCCCCGCGTCAGGCTCTGGGCTGATGGCTCAGAGCCTGGAGCCTGTTTCCGATTCTGTGTCTCCCTCTCTCTCTGCCCCTCCCCCGTTCATGCTCTGTCTCTCTCTGTCCCAAAAAAATAAATAAACGTTGAAAAAAAAATTAAAAAAAAAAAAGATTCTCTTTAATTTTTGACATTTTAATTATGATGTGTCTTGGTGTGGATCTCTTTTGAATGCATCTGGTCAGGTGCTCTCTGTGTGTCTGTTTTCTTCTCCATGTTAGTGAAGTTTTCAGCTATTACTTCTTCAAGAAGTTTTTCCCTCTCTCTTCTCCTCCTGGCACCCCTATAATGTGAATGTTAGCATCCTGTTACTGTCCCAAAGGTTCCTTAAACCTTATTTTTTACAAAATGATTTCAGGAGTAGTAACTCATCACTTACATATAACACCCAGTGCTCATCCCAACAAGTGCTCTCCTTAGTGCATCCTTATTTTTTTTAATTGTTTTCTTTTTGCTGTTCATCTGGGGTGATTTCCACTACCCTGCCTTTTAGATGTCTGTTCTGTTCTGTTCTGCATCATCTACTTTGCTGTTGATTCCCTTCAGTATATTTTTCATTTTGGTTATTGTATTCAGCTCTGACTGGCTCTTTTCTATATTTTCCTTCTCTTTGTTGAAGTTCTCACTGGGCTCATTCATTCGTCTCCCAAGTGTGGTGAGCATCTTTATGACCATTATTTTGAACTATTATTTATCAGGCACACTTTGTTTCATTTAGTTCCTTTTCTGAGGTTTTGTCTTTCATTTGGAACATATAATTTTGCCTGACTTTCTGTGTTTGTTTGTATGTATTAGCAGGCCAGCTAAGTCTCCTGGTCTTGAAGGAGTGGCCTTACATAGAAAGTTTCCTGTGGGGCCTAGAAGTGCAATGCCCCCTGGTCACCAGGACCAAGTGTTCCAGGGGTGTCTCCCGAGTGGGTGGTGTACAACCTCCCGTAGTGGCTAGATTGGAATAGGTGCAGGTGCTCTAGTCAAAGGGCTGGCCCCCAGCCTGCTTGGCTGCAGTGTCTGGCCATGCTATGGTAGCACTAATGGGTGGGCCTGGACTCCAGTGTAGCTGGCTGAGAGGCCTGGCTATTGTGGTATTGCTGAGCAGGGCTGGCCCCTTGTGTGGCTGGCTGGGAAGCTTGGGTATGATTGTTGTGGTCATGCTAGTGAATGGGACTGCCTCCCTCCCTGAATGCCAGCTGCTTTGTGGGGACTCTAATCCAGGCTGAGGCTGTATGCTGGGTG